TCTTCATCTGTCGCTTCGAAAAGCTTGTTTTACGTGCGCTTATCCGGGGATCCTGTGGCATCTTCGTCTGGTCTTGCTGGTGTTGGTGTCGCACTAAGCGCTAGAGCTGAGGCAGCACTAACCGATTGGATCCCCATTAACAGTCGGCTATATGCTGTTAGATTAGAAAGTTCCATCAAAGTGAGAAGAAATCGGCGTGAGAAACGATGTCTTTTCGTCATCTCTGCCTATGCCCGGACAGATTGCAGCCCGGATGCAATCAAGGATGAATTCTACCACCAGTTATCTGTTCTTCTATAGAAAATGCGTTCGACAAATATTATAGTACTAGCCGGAGACTTGAATGCTCAGGTCGGGCGTCTAAGCACAGAAGAGAATCGTTTAGGTGGCCGATGGGGACTCGTTGGTCGCAGGTCAGATAACGGTGACCGTCTACTGCAATTGTGCACAGACCACAACCTGTTTCTGGCTAGCACTAACTTTCGGCACAGTCATCGCTGATGTGCCACCTGGCGTCCTCCCTCTGCATCTCAAGCCTGGACTCAGATTGATCACATCGCGATCAGCTACCGCTGGCGTGGTTGTGTACAAGACTGCCGCTCCTTTTGGAGTACCTATCTGGACTCTGATCATGCCTTGGTCTGCACCAATCTTACCTTACTTTTCAGTGGACAACGAAGTGACCGCCACCAAAGGATTGATATTAGCAAGCTGGTTGCAACATCTGTTGCAGATAAGTATCGAACCGAGCTAGCCTCTAGGCTAGCTACCACTCCACCGTAAAGTATAGATGAGCATTGGTTGCAATTGCGTGACGCCATGGAAATGGCGAGTAAAGCCGCTTGCGACTTCGCGAAACATCCCGCTTATAAGCACTGGGTTTCTTCGGGCTCCTTACAACCCATTGAAGCCCGTCGGTCTACTCCGGGCGACCGTGAGTTTGGCCACAAACAACAACTGTTACGTAATGAAATTGAGCAAAGCTTGCGTAAAGACCGAGAAGCCTGGTGGTCGGAGCGTGCTAAAGAGCTGGAAGCAGCACCTGCATCTGGTAATTACCGTGAGCTCTTCCAACTCATCCGAGCCGCTGGCAGCAAGAAGTCTGATGTGAGCGAAACAATCTATGAGAATGACGGGATGCCAATCACTAACATCCATCGACGTCTTGGACGGTGGGTAGAATTTTTCGAAGGGCAGTTCAACTGGCCTGCTGCTCTGACAACATCGGCCAGACTGTCCTGTCCTCCATGGCCGGTGGCGACTGATCCACCAAATGAGGCGGAATTCCGCAAGGAACTCTAACTCTTGAAGCGCTACAAATCACCTGGCCAAGATGACTTACTTCTGGCTCTTTTTAAAGATAGTAGTGTCTTTCTGACTAAGGAACTGACGACGTTGTTTACAAAGGTCTGGGAGCTAGAGAGTATACCAACGTCATGGAATGATTCGATAGTTGTCCCTATCTTTAAAAAGGGTTCACGTCGTTCCTGTAACAACTATCGGGGCATAAGTCTACTTACGATTGCGTCCAAGCTATTGGCTTCCGTCATACTTCGTAGGTTGTTTAAAACCTGAGAAAGACTGACTCGCAAGGAGCAGGCTGGGTTTCGTTCTGGTCGAGGATGTATTGATCATATCTTCACCCTCCGCCAAATGGTAGAACACAGCCATACTTTTCAAAGGCCAACAATCGTAGTGTTTCTTGACGTCAGGGCTGCCTTCGATTCGTTGGATAGGACTGTTCTCTAGGATTGTCTATTGAAGAAGGGTGTACCTGAGAAGTTTATTAACATCCTAAAAGCCCTATATACAAACACCTCTCTCCATTGTTCCATTCGAGCAGTGGGGTTAGGCAGGGTTGCCTAATCTCACCATTCCTCTTCAACTTTGCCATCGATGACATTCTGGAAACAGCTCTGATGGATGTAAGTATGGCGGTGTGGATATGTTGCCTGGAGAAAGACTTCTCGACCTTGAGTATGCGGACGATATTGTCTTACTGTGCGATAATGCCCAAGCCATGCAATCCGCACTTAATCAGTTGGCAATCAGTGTCCGTAGGTATGGTATGTGCTTTGCACCTTCGAAGTGCAAAGTACTTCTACAAGACTGGCAGGATTCCAATCCTGTACTCACTCTGGATGGTGAGCAGATAGAAGTAGTCGAGAAGTTCGTGTATCTGGGTAGCTGCATAAGTGCTGGTGGGGGTGTGAGTGATGAGATCAATGCACGTGATGTTAGTCTGGCTGTAAAAGGTCGGATCAACAACGCGTCGGTGAGAGCAGTTTTGCTCTATGCTTGTGAAACCTGGCCTCTCCGAGTTGAGGATGTTAGATGACTCTCTGTGTTCGATCATCACTGTCTCCGAAGGATTGCTGACATCCACTGGCAACACCATGTTAGTAATGTAGAGGCTCGGCATCGTGTGTTCGGGCACAGACACGATAATGCAATCGGTGTCACCATCTTGATACACCGGCTTCGGTGGCGTGAAGATGTTCTACGTCGTGCATTATTTGCCGGTTCTGGGACTGGTTGGAAAAAGCGGAGAGGTGGTCAGTGTATGACATGGTGTCGGGGTATGAAAGAAAACCTGCAAGGGGCTTGCTTCTGTTGGTCCTTCACGACTCCCTGGTTGGGGTCCGAGAGATGGTGCTACACAGTGGCTAGAGACGTTATCAGATATGACTCAGAATAGAAGCCAGTGGCGATCCTGCTGTAACCTTCTTTTACTTTCTTCATAAAAAGTGGTTGTATCTTCCTTAACTGAAAGATTTCTTCTGATTGTACCCTTCCGTTCCCTCACTATTACTATTATTATTACTACACTACCTTACACCAACCTCTTCGTTATCGTTCTCTTTTTTTTCACGCTCCTTACCTTTTTTTCTTTCTCTTCGAATTCTCATTGTTTTGTGTGGCGCATATATATTGGCGCTCTCTTGTACCAATATTCATGTGTTCAAATAAAATAATAAATAATACGAAGTATGACGGTAGCCAATAGCTTGGACGCAATTGGAAGTAGACTTATCCCCCGATAGTTGCTACAGGAACGACGTGAACCCTTTTTAAAAATAGGGACAACTATCAACTCATCTCACGATGTCAGGACACTCTGATTTCCAGACATTTTTTAACAACTCGGTCAGTTCCTTAACTAGAAGATCGCCACCACCTTTAAGAATGGCTTGAGGTAACTCATCTGGGTCTGATGATTCGTAACGTTTCAAGAGTTGGAGTCCCTTATGGACTTGCACTCGTTAGATGGACCAGTCGTCACAGGCCACGGGAGGTAGGACAGTCTGATCGATGTCGCCGGGGTAGGTGACCAGTTGAATTGCTCTTCGGAAAACTGGTCGTCGTCCAAGACGTTGGTGAATCTTATTGATCGGCATTCCATCGGCTTCACAGATTGTGTAACTCACACCAGACTTCTTGGTGCCAGTGACCCGGGTGAGTTGAAAGAGCTTCCGGCAGTTACCAGATGCCGTGGCTGCTTCCAATTCATTGGCACATTCCGACCATCAGGCTTCTCGGTCCCTACACAAGCTTTGGACAATTTCTTTACTTATTAATCGTGGTTTTTGATCAAGCTCGTGGTCACTCGGAGTAAACTGAAGTGCTTCAATGAGTCGTAAGAAGCCTTTAGAAACCCAGTGTTTATAAACGGGATGTTTCGCGAAGCCGCAAGCGACTTTACTAACCATTTTCATGGTCTCATGCAGTTGCAGCCAATGCCCATCTATACTTTTCGGTGGGTTGAACGTAGCTCGGTTTGATATTTAGTTGCGACAGGAGCTGCAGTCAATTTGCTTACATCGATCCGTTTTGGGCGGTGAATATGTTGACCACTGAAACGTTAGATCAGGTTAGCTCAAATAAGGTTATGGTCAGAGTTCGGGTAAACACTCCAGAAGAAGTGGTAATCTTGTATACAGCCACACCAGCCGTAACTGATCGCAACAAATAATCTGAGTCCAGATTCGCGATGCAGAAGGATGGTGCCAGGTAGCACATCAGCGATGACTGTACCAATTATTAGTGCTAACCTGAAATAGGTTGTTTTCTGCACAAAGTCGCAGTACGCGGTCACCGTTATCCGACCTGCTACCAACAAGTCCCCACCGGCCACCTAGATGACTCTCTTCTGTGCTATTTGTTTCCCCAGGATCCTATATCCACCATTAATTTGGAATCACGGTTTCTCAATTCCTCTCAATGGATCCTCCGTACCCGCCAACCCAGTCAAGACGTCAGACATTCTCGTTATGAGAACTACTTGTATACACCAAGCCATGGTATACACGAGTAGTGTTATATAATATACAGGAGTAATGTAAAAAAAAGTTAGAGAATGCCAACAAACTAAATACTTTATGCGTGTTTGATTTGATATCTTATGTGTATTTACAACACTTCAGTTGTTACATCTAATTCCTTAGACATAGTTTTATTGTTTCTCTCTGGGTATCACATTCTTGTCTTTCATTAATATCGAACTATTTGCATCATTTGTGTGATGTAAATTCATATCACGTTTGTTTCAAATACTTCCAACTTTTTCTCTTGGACTCCAGACATAAAATTGGCTCACAGTTTGTTTATCATCCTAATAATGAGTACTATGATAAAAAGATTAAATTAAATTTAATAATGATACAGAATTACTCAAGATTTTCTATAAGTATAATAGGAATGAAAGCAGAACGAAATCGAAACACCTACCAAGTATATTTTCATTAACAATCAATGGTCTTTTTGTACCGTAAAGAGACCAGGAGAAAATACAGTAATTTGAAGTACATTTCATACCAAACAATGCACAACCACATTATAAACAAAATCAGCATTTGAATATGATTGAGCTATTGTGCTTTTTTGGTGATATATATGTATAATTACTGGATAGCCTATCTTAGTAAAATTATGTAATCAAATCTTGACAAAAATTTGTATTCAAGATGTTTATTTTAATCTATAAAAACTCTTCTTTTTAGTTGATATTACCACATACCACAATGGATTTCATGGTGATGTGAATGAGACAGTGTTTGTAGGTCAACCAGATGATCGTTCAGTGAATCTAGTGAAAAATGCTTACAAATGTTTGGTTAGATCTATGGATGCTGGTAGGTTTATTGATTTTTTGCTCTAGTCAGCTTAATTACACATTGCTTGGTTATATATTGAAAAAAAAACGTCTTTTGATTTCTTTGTTAATATTAAATAGGTTCAAGCACCAACTTCAAGTATAAAGAGAGATAAATAAATCATAAATTTGTAATATCTCAATGAGTAGAAAAATTAGATTTCTGACGTTTCGTGACTCAGTGTAAGCCACTTCTTCAGAGAATAAATAACCAAATCAAGATTATTCAAGTTTAAATAGTACAGTGGAACAACAAGAGTATTATTCTTGTTTGGTTTGGACATGTATTACGTATACCCATCCACTGAGTACCTTGAGTGGTATAGAAATAGTTTGGAAGAAAGCTAGGAGTGGGCAAACCAGTGGCACTAGTCTACGAAGACATTGACTGTTGAACTGAGCCATTTAGACTGCCTGGTTAAGGTCTACGTGGTTATCATATTCAGTGGTTAGAGGCTTTGGGCGACATGTTTCAGAATCCTTTGCATTGGCGCGGGTACTTTGACTTTTTGTCTTCCCTCAGATCCTAAGTTTCTAAATTTTCTATGATCTTTTTGTGGTTCAGTAATTTATATTTTTTCTAACTTTATTTGGGATATCCAACTTTCCCTATTACCATTGATACTGTTACTAACTATACTAGTCCATGATTTGCCGTGACAGTTTCATCTCGTTGTGCTGATGGAATATAGCAACTTGAACCAATGTACACACGTACCAGGTTCTAACTTTCGTATAACTGATTGAATAGAATATAGTCAATAGATCGAAATTTTTGTGTTGGAGTGTAGTGTGTCATTCAGTTAGTAACTAGATTTGTACTCAAATTCATCTACTCGAAGCATGTTAACAGGGTGTTTTAAATACTGAGGTATTGATTTTCCAAAGAGTATGGTAAATATCTAGCATACTAATAATACATAATTGGTTTTCTGCTCCTATGTTTTGTTCAAAATGAATTAGTCATCATCGCTGGCTTTGGACATTTATCGGACTATATCACGAGTTAATCGAAGTTGGAAATATGTACCATTGTACCCTAATCTAGTGGTTTTAATGGTTGTGTTTGCTACGTGACCCATAATTCTTGGATTATGATTATGCATCACTGTGGGTTTCTAACAGTAGGACGAAATATATCTTCAGAGACAACGCTTATGTGAGAAATATCACCTACATATTCAATTAATCTTCACTAATCCTCTTCGTCTAAATAAAATGGAATTTTTCGTTTTTTTTTGAATATATTTTTCTTTGAATGTCTACATGGTAATTTTTCCTTAATTAAATAATTTTAACGGTTACTATTTCCATTATAATTTATTCTGGTTGATATCATTCCAGTCTCAACTTTACAATACAGTTTTCTATCTCCATATCAATACATCTGGATAAATATTGTACTGTCAGAATAGAAAACGCTTATGTTTATCCATACCAAAAATATAAGATAACACTATTAAATCATTGACTAGTTGAATATCGTTAGACCTTCAAAATTACTGACTAACAACTTAAAAATGATAATATTTCAAATCGTCAAGTCTAACAAAATACAAGTTCATTTGTTATTTTATATCTTGTTGTGATTAGTCGATACTTTAATACTTTTCTTAACTCCATCTTCAAAATTGTCTTTATTAATTTCACCATTTCCTAACTCGTTAGTTATTCTTAACATTATTATTTTTAAGGAAAGATGGATAGTGGCTAGCAGTGGAATCCAGAGACTCGTCAGCTTGATGTACCCACATCTCAGAATTGATGTTCACTCTGGGACTCGAATCCAGTATTATTCGCTTCAAAAACACCATCGCGTTATCCACTCAGCTACTGAGTCCTGATAATCACTTGCTTGTGCAATGGAGTGGATTTTGAATTCGCTTGGTATTGTTTTGCTTGAATCTTCCCATCGAGGTTTAAGACTGCAATTGATCAGTCTGGCACATCCAGCTGACGAGTCCCCAATGAGACGAAACGCGCGTCCTGGATTCCACTGCTAGCCACTATCCATCTTTGCTTATAAAGCTTTTGAATTAAGGCAATATAGAGGCAATACGCACAGTATGCACATATGCCAATAACAGACTGATCAATTGAAATCCTAAACTTCAATTGGAAGATTCAAACAAACAATACCAAGTGAATTATTATTTTTATTTCACTGTTCTCCCATTTTATCAATCTCTTTTCAATGAAGTAGTACGATTTACTCTTATATATTATCTTTTTCTATATATTTACCAAAGTGGTCTTATTAATGCTATTGTTTCCTTCATGAAATAATATACTTGTATTCCCCTTGTCTTCACAATGTAGAACACTTGATGAATGTAGTTTTAAATGATTAATGATTCTTGAAATTATATAGATGTATTATAGGTATTAATTTAGTTTACTTATTTTTTCATCTTTTTATCTTAACATATTAGTTCTTCCAGGTGTTAAATATCGCGAAATGGGAGATATAATTTCAAAAAATGCTTCACTTGGTGGATTTTCTGTTGTCAAGACTTATTCAGGTCATGGAATACATCGGTTATTTCATTGTCCTCCAAATATTCTTCACTATTCACGTAAATTCACTTTATCAATAAAAACATTTTCACTGTTTCATATATAAAGTATATTTGTAAATTCATTATAACTATGTAAGAATAGGTGCTTATTTTTGCCGTATTCATAGCGATAGATTGATTCATAAATCATCATTGATGTATAAACATTAGGAAATGTATTAAAATTTGGGTTTTGTCATTCCATTGACCATTGACACACATACACACACACTGATCGCTTAATTTCATTAGGAGATTATTGAATCAGATGAAGAAAAAAATTGCTTTTTACTTTTTTCTTTAGAAAAAAGAGATACAAAACAAACACAACCATAAAACTAATTGATATCATGCAAGAAAAACTATTTCTGTTCAATGAAAATTCTGAAAATATCAAGTGGTCATAAATTGTTCATCTTTGTAATACATTGATAACATTTTGATGTAGTACATAGTACTACTGATTGAATTCCAATGAAGTAGTAGTAGTGATACGACAATCTTAATTATTATGTTCAATTTTATGTATTAATAATTTGCGGTCAAAGTTGTGAGTATTTTTGTTGTTTTATTTGTTATCGATGTTTAATCATCTCCTTGGCAGACACCTCTTTGATGTCTGTTGAATCGTCATTTCCTGTGTAAGAACATACTTCGTTTTAAAGATATATTTTGATGATAATCTACAGAGACTTCTGCATATCGATATATATATATATATATATATATATATATATATATATATATATAAATGATATGTAAAATTGAAATACAATAACTCATTCAGTAGTCGTCCATACCTTTCAACCTCAAGTGTGTTTTTGCAGCAGTCTCAAAATTACTCAGAAATTTCCGTTTAACTTAAAGCAACTATTGTTTGACGAGTTGAGTATTGTGGTACACATATGATTTATTAGCGTCAATCATCTGTTTGATTGTATAAACTACTGGTCATCTGTGTACAATCCTCTTACTACATGCTCTTGCTCTCATTGTTAATTCATGATTTTAACTTAACTGAGTGGGCCAAGTATTAAATTCATATCTATCGTTGAAAATAGTACTTAAATTGTTATACAACACGTCGTTTAAATTCACTCATATTGTAGTATAATTAAATAATAAACTTTTCAATATTTCGGCTTTTTTCTTTAATACGTTTTAAGGTAATAAGGCAGTCGGTGTCATGAAACCGGGACATTGTTTCACTATTGAACCAATGATAAATGAAGGCGATTGGCATGATGAATTATGGCCAGACAATTGGACTGCAGTAACTAGGGATGGTTTAAGATCAGCTCAATTTGAACATACTATGGTTATTTCAAAACCAGAATTAGCCACATCGAATGGAATGGCAATCGAAGTATTAACTAAACGTCGTATCAGTGGTGCTGATCCATTAAATGGATGTAAATTCAATGAAGAAGATGCTTTACATTTTGAACGTTATGGTAGACCTTATTTTGTAGATCAATTGTACAAATTAGGTTTAAATACTGATTGTACAGTGTTTAAAAGTATGTCTAAAAATTAGACAATTTATAAAACTTTCAAAATTTGAAAAAATCCATTCTCTTTCATATTGAGCGAATGCTTTTATGCCTTTTGTGTACGAATGATCTTAGTAGAAGAAAAGAACTGTATTCAAAGATGATACTTCCTCTTTTGTGATATTGATTATTGTTTCATTTCTATTATTATATTATTAAGTTAATACTCGATAATCTATAATAAGACGTTAATATTATATATTTATACTGTCTAAGGTAGCTGTAACAGTAATATTATCGATTTTAAAATTTGATGGTTACATTTTACACTACGCGATGATACGGATAACGAAGAGGCTACAGGACATTCATTAAATTCAGTCAGTCATAGACAACTTAAAATCTAGAATATATCTGCACCGGTCCAAGTTCCCACACTGCAATAACAAAACGAAGTGAAACTGTCAAGATACATACCGAAACATTATTATCATCGGTAGTTGTAAAAAGGATTAGGTTTAGAGAATATGACTGAAGAAGAAAGAAATGATTCGTGGGATGAAAAGTGAGGAGTGGTTGTGAATTTCAGGTTATAAGAGAACACAAAGAGTGCACATATGTGAACTGCATGACACAATGTCTCCAACCATTGATAACCTCAAATGAACAGTCTACACACATTAACGCGGTTCAGACATATGGTTGATGATTTCGTGCTGTGATGGGATATCTTGATTTGGTTCTCCTTATTTGTGAATAAATACTTGCAGCGTATAAATATATATATTCCCGAAATCACAGGTCTGAAATTACTCAGTTTTTTCACTTTAGTAAGCATCATTTCGTAAGATTGAATGTGTGCTATCGAGATATATGCGTATATACTTTGTAGTGAGTATAAATTAATAAAATTCTTTTTAACACCAAGTAACATGCATAACTCAACTTTGTTTTACTTCTCTGTATTAATCAATGAAATAATTTGCTTAACGATTGAACAAAGACTTTTAAAATACTTCTGTATAAAATAGATGACCTAAATTGGAATTATTTAAACTATGTATGGCATAATTTCAACCAAACTTTTAGTTGTTTTATTTACAATTATTTAGATGCTAAAAAAATCTTTTATTTTTTATTTCAATGTTTGTAGTTTCAAAAGATTTTAGAATCACTTACGTATAACTGTATGATTGTATATCGGTGACCGGTATATATATATATATATATATATATATATATATATATATATATATATATATATATATATCGGTGTACACTTCGAAATCTGTCCATTGAAAGGCCGTGGATGATGGTTCTCAGGCAGTTGTCCGTTGGGCTCTGCGGTCACGCTCTCGATTCACTAAGATCACCACTACTCAGCTTCATATTCAGGTCATTTGTCAGCTGGAAGTGACAGATGCTCTCACACCTCTAATAGCACCTGATATCATCTTGTACACGAACAAATTCATTCTTCACGACACCTCATTCTTGCATATCTCTGTCGCCTCCCGTAACCAATGCCAATAATTTGAGTTCACGAAGTGTTATTCCTGGTCCTCTGAAATCACTCTCTAAACCACATTTTGTGGCTTACAATGTTCAAACTTCGTTTCAGGTAGAAGGACAGGATTTATTTTAGCTAAGTTTCTAGAATCTCGTCCCTTCTGTGTATGCTACCGCTCCGGAACGCATAAAGATGTTCTAAGTACGGTCATTCACTTGACCTTAAGTCGAGACCCAACTGCCACTTCTTGTGACCTCACTGGTGTATTAGTAGAATTTGGTTCAAATGTAGAATAGGCTCTTCTAGATTGGGTTGTAATATATTGTAGCTTGTGGGTTGTGCGATTAAATGGGACAGTAATTATTAGGAAGGGTAAAGGTACACTCCATCGCCTCCCTCGGATGCAGTAAAAGAAAACTGCTACGGAAAGCTATCCAACCTCCTCTGATATACTAAACCCTTGGATGTAATAATAGTAACATGTAATTGCAATCCCCACGCAGATAGTCTAAAGCAAACCAAGAGTCACAGCTCAGCGAATAGATAATGGCATCTGTCTGCTGCAACTATGCTCAGACAACCGCCTATTCCCGGTGCATCAACTTCGAGCATGAGGAAGAATATCGTTCGTCGTGATAACCCCACAATCGACTCGACGATGGACTCAAATAGACTACATTATTGTCAGTTAGCGTAAGAGAGGTTTGATAGACTGCCGCTCATTTCGGAGCGTACTTTACTAGATTTAGACCATAGGTGTCTTCGAAGTATCGCTCGTATATTTTGGCACCATCGGTCTAACAATTTGCTGGTTAGACGCATAATACAAGGTTGGCAGAAAAAACCAACTAATTAGTTAGTGAATTGTTATTAGCAAAACCAAAACATGGTGCCAGTCCATGGTGACACCGACCGTCGAACTGAGCCATGTTAACAGTTGCAAATTACTTGAATGGGGTTTGTGTGATTATCGTAACCTATGTTGGAGACGGTACGATATCGTATCTTGGATGCCCAGCCTGTTTTACTATTGCGGTATATGCTCCTTACATCGACAGACATAATTAATATGTAATGCCACTCGAAAGTGAAAAATATGGCAGTAGAAGGGTAAGAAGATCGAGTTGAAGAGAATTGAAAGAGAAGTATAGAGGGATTGTGGACTAGAAGAATCATGCAGAATGTGGAGGACAAATGATGGAAATTCGCAAATGAAGTATTCAGCGTAAGGTTTTAATATTTTAGCAAGATATTCTGTAATTTTGGTTGTTCTCCACTTGTATTCTCGTTCAGAAAATTACCACCAAAACTGCTTCTACATCTAATACTTTGAGGTTAGTCGTGCCAATTTCATCTTGCTGTGGTAATACGGTGTGGCAAATCGAATTGCTGTATATACGTATCAGTTTTAACAGAATGTTTAACTGACTAACGGTCAAATGTTGCTTAGATTACTGACGTATTTTTCGAGAAAATCTTTCCGATCAACTAGATAAGCGTCAATGTGCCAATCCAACTAGTTAGATCTTTACATTTCAATTTAAAACAATCAGATGGATGAGAAAATTGATAACTGACTTGTTAAAACCACCATGTTCTAATCTTGTGAATGAATATAGCATATGACACCTTTATTAAAATAAATATGATAGGCCAATCGAATTTCACCTGAAAATTTTCTAATCAATGTAGTACATTTGACTGAATATTTTCTACGTATTGGATGGTATTATTTTCTGCATAAAGTGAAGTGTATAAAAAGTAATATATGTACAAAAGAGAATTTGTTGGTTACCAAAATCATAATTCTATAAGTACAAAAGAATGCGCTCTGGTCGTGCAGCTTGGATTGGATTAAATACAGCCTCATATATATGTGAATTGGTATTTTTGGGTTTGGCAATTACAGTACAAATATCCACCGATTGGGCTGTTTACGATGTTACGTACATTGGCCTTATTGATAATTATAATCAATTAAGTCGCTCTCGTGGATTATGGAAACAATGTATTACTAATCGAATAGGTAAGGCTTCAAGTGAAATATCTTTATTAATATAGTTTACTATCAATTGTAATCTACTGTAAATAAATATATATATAATTACTCTCTTGATTGTCAGAATAATCGTTTGTTTGTTTCTGTGACCATACATCTTATAGACTGAAATCAAATGAAAGACGAATGAGTGAATTTCAATGTAAATAGTAGAAAATTGAGGAATTGATAAATGATTGGTCACAGTCTAGGATAGAAACTTCAGGTGAGACTAATTTATGGACGACTTTTGAGCGATGCCCAAGTGACCTAGAGAGTGTCTACCTACTAACTAGAGCCAAATGAGGGTTATAAGACAGTTTGAAGAATAAGGATTATGACTCACATTTGATGGTTGGGGTAAGAATTAGATTTCCGGTTTTCATCATGAATTGACATCAGCTAAAATTTAAAACAATTAGTCCCTTTGATAAATTTCGATAATGATATTAGTTCTGATAATCTTCGTCTTCTAAACATAGTTCTGAAAATCTTCGTCTTCTAATATCATTATCGAAATAAGCTAAAATGTCAAGACGCTATTTGGCCAAATGGATGAGTGAATTTCGCGCCAAAATCCAAGGTCTATTATTCTAAATCTGATTGATTCGTCCATAAATTATAGTCTTCGGATAACAATATCATTAAAATTCATTTTCCAATGTACAGATGACCGATCCAATATAATTGACGATTTATGTGGGAATCGTGGTGAAGAAGTCTGATAGAAAACGCAATTGCAGTTAAAATATACAATCTGAAAAGGCTATTTATAATAGTGAGAATGTTATAACAGTAATTTTAAGAAAACAATGTGTTGACCTATATTAATTATCTAGACAGCGTTTTATCTAGAAACAATGGATTGCCAAATGTGGATGAGGTCATGATTTACGGGTGATCATCGAGTGATTGTGAAGTGACCTTGTGAAACTTCGACTAATTATTACTCTCAGTATAGGGTTATGGATTATTATGAGGAATGAGAAATAAGCTTTTTACGTTTGAGCTAAGAAACAGTCAGAGTTGTCATGACGAACTGACATCGAGTCTAATATGTGTAATATTCAACACTTTTATGATATAGATTAAAGTTTACAATTTTAATAGACAGTTCTATAATGAATTCCATTTGGGATTGTTTTGAGAAATATCTATTTATGAAATATGCATTATCAAATCGTGAATTCAGTGTTCATATCTGTTATCATACTGAACATTGAATGTCCACAGCATCTCTACAGCACCTACAGCATTCATAGTCTGATTGAAAACTTTCTAATTAGTTTAATAACAAGTACGACTGCTGGCACATTTTTAACGCGAATGATATGAATTTTAACCTTAATCATAACGGCTTAGATTATCCGTAACGTTCTCAATGCTCAGTAAACATTTTCCCATCCATCGCTTCCGACCATTCTTTCGTTCATTAAATGGATGAGCGATGCTTACTGAAGTTTATTGCTCACCACAGTTTTCATCTTAAATATATG